AGCAATCTTTATAGCTCAGAATCTTTATAGCTCCAGAATTTAGCAAAAGGAGAACTCGATAAATATAATAAACAAGTCAATGAAGAAATAACCCAGTAAGTGTGATGGGTAGATGAATCAATGAGTAACTAATCATAAAATGGGACCATATGTGGTAAGTACCATGAGAAGCACTGCACACCACGGGAGGCCATGCACCATGGTGAGAGTTGATAAAGCCCTGAGCTAGAGAGCTTGCTGAGAGAGACAGGGCTAGGTGAATTTAGGAGACATTCCAAAGTAAAACCCACGGGGCTGAGTAGTTAACCGCATGCTGGCATTGAAGGAAAGGAATGAATGAATGAAGGTTAGGTTTGGCTTCCCTTGTGGCTCAGCTGGTAAAGAATCTGCCTGCAATGCGGGAGACCGGGGTTCGGTCCCTGGGTTGGGAAGATCCCCTGGAGAAGGGAAAGGCCACCCACTCCAGTATTCTGGCCTGGAGAAGTCCAGGGACTGTATAGTCCTTGGGGTCACAAAGAGTTGGATACAACTAAGCAGCTTTCACTTTCACTTTCACTAAAGTGGAGCGCCCAGGTGGCAGTCCAGAGCTGGCCTGGTGTGCCAGCCTCAGGGAAGTATCACATACGGTCCCTTCCATCCTGTTATTCAACATCCTCACCACATGCCTTCATGACATGGTCCAAGATAGGGGCTCCAGCATCACACCTGCCTTGTAGCCAGCAGACTGCAGGAAAGAGACAAGTGTAGGGCATGCTGGTGACTTTAAATATATATATACAATTTTTTGGCTGTGGTAGGCCTTTGTTGCGGCACACGGGCTTTCTCTAGCTGCAGTGAGCGGGGGGTACGCTCGAGTTGTGGTGGGCGGGCTTCTTTTCTGGGCGCCTCTGTTGTCGGGGAGGACGGGCTCCAGGTGTGCGGGCTCCCGCAGTTGCCGCGTGTCGGCTCAGCAGTCGAGGTGCCGGGGCTCAGTTGCTCCATGGCAGGTGGAAATCTTCCCAGACCAGGGGCTGAACCAGGGTCCCCTGCATTGCAGAGCGGATGCTGAACCACTGGACCACCAGGGAAGCCCTGCTGGTGACTTTTAAGGACTTACTTCCTGAAAACTGTTTTCTCTTACATAACATTAGTCATTATTTAATCATAGCTAATTTAAGGGAAGGTTGGGTGATGTCTTTGTTCTGAGCAGCTAAAATTTGGAAGATGTATGGCTGAGAAATAAGATTTTATTTTATTTGAGAAATAAGATTTTTAAAAAACCGGAAGATAGCTTGCCCCAAGGGGTCAAGAACAATTTCCATCATAGCCATTGCAGGACTATGAATGCAGAAAGAGAGGAGAGTTCTAAGAAGGTTTTTAGGACACCTCAGAGTAAGGACAAATAAGTTTTATTTGGAACGTATCTATTTTGGGGTGGCCTGTGGAACCGCAGGTGGAAACCAGGAGGCACTGGAAACGCGTGCACAGCTTCATCCTTGTTTCCTCTATGCCGGAGCCTGCCGGCAAACGAACTGGTCGAGAATGCAATTACCAGAGTACCTAAGAAAAATAAGACTCAGAAAGACTTAGAAAGATGGGGTTGAGAGGGACAGAGTCAGCTTGCGTCTGACTCTGCCAACTTTATTGAAGAATACCACACCTATATATATGCTAACAGGAGTTACTAATAGATCAAAGGTTTGCATATGTGCAGAGCTACAGGCACAGATGTTTTAAATTCCTCCACTTAAGATCAGTAAAGCATCACCCTAGCGCCCAACATGATTAAGATCAATAGAACATTAACTAGATAGAAAACAGGCTTCAATCATGACGAGTTTATCAGCAACAGGTGAAAGATCGCTACAGCAATTTCCTTGAGGGAGGTGAGAAAGGCCAACCTGTGCTTTAATAAATCAGGGGTGGCGGGACAGAGAGGGACCTCTTGATCTCTCTCAGAGCCAAGAAGGAGCCTGAGCAGTCAGGCTGGCTCCCCGCACCTCTACCTAAGCTGCACTCCTTGAGGACGGTGAGTCTGGGCTATCTATCCTTACATGCCCACCGTGCCTTGCAAGTTTCAGGAATGGACAAAGATGGCAGGAAAATTAAGACGGTGAAAAAGACTAATGGCTAATTTTTAAATGACAAATGGGAAAACTACAGAACCCAACTACTGTAAGCCCTAGAAAGAGCTTTCTCAGGCCACTCTGAACAGGAAAGGTAGCCTGTACACACTTCATTCAGAATCTACTAACGTAAACACACGGACACACTCATACCATGGACAGAGCAGACGAGCACTGCTTTTAAAAGAGCATTCCATTTCGGGAGTCTGTGGTGGGGTGATGAGGGATAAAGGGAGATTTAGGAGATCTAGCTTCACAAGGGGACCGGGCCAAGGTCACATGACTAGGCAATGTCACAGCCATGACTGGACCAGAGACCTCAGGACTTCCAGGCCGAGGGAAGATACTGCACCTGCCCTTAAGAAGATGACCCACCAGGCTAAAGGAACCACATTCTAGAGATACACACAGTGGCTTGAAAACAAGCACGCCAAGGGAAGTCATGACAAGCTTTTCTTGCCAGATGTCAGCATTCCTGACGAGCAAAATAGTCCAAGAGAATCCCCCACCAGACCCTTTAGTCTACATGGATGATTCTAGCATGAACTTCCAGGATGACTCCCAGATACCAGCTGGCGCCATCGATTAACAATGTTGTGATAGTTTCAGGTGAACGGCAAAGGGACTCAGCCAGATATATGCACGAATCCATAGCAGTGTGTACATGACCTTCCCAAAGCCCCCAACGAGTCCTTCCCTTGATGGTAACCATGGGTTCGTTTTCTATATCTGGGAGTCACTTTCTGTATTGTGGGTAAGTCCATTTGTATAATTTCTTTTTAGATTCCACATATAAGGAATGTCAGATGATATTTCTCCTTTAAAAAAAAAAATGGCCCTCCTATGGTAAGGGAACCCAGCCCTCGCTGAGTCTTCCAGGGCTGTGAGAGACTGGGGCCAAGGACCTGGGCGATTTAATCTGGTTTTTACCAAGGGCGTTTACAGTGAGCAATTAAGGCACAGTTAAGGAATTAATCACTAATGAGTCATTAATTCTGCCCACTATTGTAGCATTAATGAGCTGAGACCAGATTATTAGAGCCCGTTCCCAATTAAGCAGACGATGCGGGGAATAAGTGCAGCACCGGCCTCTTGAACAGTAGGCGAGCCCGGCCTCCCCTTTCCACGCAGGTCAGGACACAGGCCGAGCTCCCAGGGCTTGCGCTGGCTGGGCAGAGGAAAGGCCTGTTTTTCATTAATATTACCTTCCCCGAAAGTCTTTTTTTTTTTTTTTTGATGGCCTCCTGGAGGCTTCAGTTCCACTAACATAGTAAACGTCTGTGGGCCGAAAGGAGCGCGTGGACCTGAGACAGAACCACACACGGCCAGGCTGGGGCTGGGGGCATGAAACACTACAGCCCCCGCTAAGGGGGCGCGTCAGAGGCCCGAGAGCCTGCAGTCCACCAGCTGTGTGAGGGACGCGGGAGGAGCCTGCAGGCGGCCCTCCATTCCCTAACTTGGGGTACACCGAGGGCTCTCTGCAAAACTTTCAAGTAACTGATAAACTGAGTGAAAAAGCTGGCTTAAAGCGCAACATTCAGAAAACTAAGATCATGGCACCAGTCCCATCACTTCATGGGGAATAGATGGNCAGAATCTTTATAGCTCCAGAATTTAGCAAAAGGAGAACTCGATAAATATAATAAACAAGTCAATGAAGAAATAACCCAGTAAGTGTGATGGGTAGATGAATCAATGAGTAACTAATCATAAAATGGGACCATATGTGGTAAGTACCATGAGAAGCACTGCACACCACGGGAGGCCATGCACCATGGTGAGAGTTGATAAAGCCCTGAGCTAGAGAGCTTGCTGAGAGAGACAGGGCTAGGTGAATTTAGGAGACATTCCAAAGTAAAATCCACGGGGCTGAGTAGTTAACCGCATACTGGCATTGAAGGAAAGGAATGAATGAATGAAGGTTAGGTTTGGCTTCCCTTGTGGCTCAGCTGGTAAAGAATCCACCTGCAATGCAGGAGACCCCGGTTCCATCTCTGGGTTGGGAAGATCCCCTGGAGGAGGGGGTGGCAGCCCACTCCAGTATTCTTGCCTAGGAAACCCCATGGACAAAGTCTGAGCCTGGTGGGCTACAGTCCATGGGGTCGCAAAGAGTTGGACACGACTTAGCAACTGAGCTGAGCAATCACATACAATGCGGCACTAGCTGGTAAAGAACCCGTCTACCCATGCAGGAGACTTAAGAGACCTGGGTTCAGGCCCTGGGTTGGGAAGATCCCCTGAAGACGGGCAAGGCAACGCACTCCAGTATTCCTGCCTGGAAAATCCCATGGACAGAGGATCCTGACGGGGTACAGCCCATGGGGTCGCAGAGAGTCGGACACGACTGAGCGACTGACACTTCACAATAAGTGGATACAGCGGGGACGCCCCAGTCCAGGGGCTGACCTCTGGCTGAAGGCCGCCCCACCCCAAGGGCTCTCTCCTAGTCCTCCCACCCCGTTTCACCCTCCCCCTCCCCGCCCCCTCCCGGCAGCAGGGATGGGAGCTCGGGCCAGCGGGAGGCAGGACCGGGTTCCGAGAGCGGGAAGCCCACGGCGGAGGAACAGCTGGAACGGGCATCGGGCCACAGCGCAGGCGGGGGCCGAGCGAGGAAGACCCCGCGCGGCTGCAGCCGTCTCTGGACGCCGGGGCTCCGGAGACTGGCGACCCGCAGAGGCGGAGCCCTCGATGCCCCGAGCCCCCGAGGGAGAGAAAAAGCGCCACCAGCAGTCCGGAGCCACCCCGCCGGGCGCGGAGGCGCCACGCTCACAGGCGGCAAGAGACGCCTCCAAAAGGGAGACAGGCGGAAACGGAAGTGTCCCCAGCGCGGCGGGCGTGGCTGACGGAGTCTGGGCCAGCCGGGCGGCCGGCTAGGCACGGGCCGGGCTCTGGGCATCAGCCGCGGTCCTCGCGGAGCGCAAGGAACCTGCGGCCTCCGCTCCCCCGGNTCATTGTGGAAGAAGCAAGGGCCACTTCCCAAGGGATGCAGGTTTACGAGGGGGGGGGGGGGGCTTTCCCCAGAGTCCCAGAAAGGCGGGTGCCCGTCCTCCAAATCACAGCAGAAAGGCGGGTGCCCGTCCTCCAAATCACAGCCGTGAGAGTCCAGTTTCGGAAGCTGGGGCCCTTCCTTGGCCGCCGCCTCCGCAAACCGCTTTCCATAGTTGTGAACTTGCGCGGCGGCCCCAGGTATTTCTGGATCATCTGGGGTTTTAACGCTCTTTACCGCAAGCCATTCTCACTTCCAGCCTGAATAAAGTACCCGCTGCCCGCCTCATCTGCACCCCTCCTCCGGGAGCTGGGAGCTTGACTCACTGCGGGCCCTGAGAGCCGCCCTGGTAGGCAGCCCGTAGGACTGCAGAGGGAGGGGCCTCGCCTCGCCCACATCTCCCCCAGGAAGCCCAGGAAGGCACTCAGAGCTAGCATCCATTCCTCAGCATCTCAGTTCCCAGTGTGGCCTAATAAGCTGTTCATGGGAACTGGAATTAAGGAGCCCTTATTCAGCAAATATTTCTTAAACATGAGATATGATCGTGAACTGACAGAGGACTTCTAGTTATTCCAGCTCCAAGGCTTACAAGCAGAGTTGATTGGTGCAACCTCTCCAATACCTCAGTCTCCTCATTCATAAAATGGGGCTAGTTGAATCTTCCTGGTAGAGTCCTTGTGAGGCTTCACTGAGAAGAAAACCAATTAGAAGAGTGCAGGCACATAGTAAGCTTTCAATCCTGATTAGCTACTAGAATTTTGATCATTCTCCAAGGACTTGTTCCTGAAATCCAGATATAGTTCAGTCTGTTGGTCCCTAAAGAGATGGTTTAGAATATTTATTCTCAGAGTAAAAGAACAGAGGAAAATTATGGAAAGCTGCATATGAAAAAAAAAAAAAGGAAGGAAAATGGCAGAGTGGAGACAGAATGAGTAATGGAAATGACCTAAAGAAATCAAAGTAGATGCTAATGTCGAGATAGGTCAGAGGTGCCCAGGCCTAAGGTGAAAGAGTGCAGAGTAAGTGTGGTACTCACCTGGGGCCACTGAATTTGGAAGTTTTCTGAATAAATTATTCCCCAGTGAAGATGAAAGAGAAAAGGATCCAGCTTGGATCCTTCCTCATTGAAGGATGAAAGAGAAAACAGGCCAAAGTGAAAGAAACTTATTTATCCTGAGTTTACCTATTTTTTTCCCTGCGGATAGCTGATATCACTTGGGCCACTCCATTCATTTCTCTTATCAGAGAAAAGCATTAAATGTATTACTCCCTACCTTCTGGGAAAGGGGCTTCCCAGGTGTTTCAGTGGTAAACAATCCGTCAGCCAATGCAGGAGACGAAGGTTTGATGCTCCAGGGTTTGACCCTCCAGAGTCAGGAAGATCCTCTGGAAGAGGAAATGGCAACTCACTCCATTATACTCGCCAGGGAAATCCCATGGACAGAGGTGTCTGGGGGTCTACAGGCCCTGGGGTCACAAAAGAGTCGGACATGACCTAGAGACTAAATAGCAACAACCACTGCTTGGGGAAAACAACCCACTCAATAAATTCTTACTGACCAGCTTACTATGTGTTAGGCTCCAGAGGAGGGCCTAAGGGTACACAGGCCTGTTATGCCGCAGACTCTAAGGACCCACAGGGCAAGGACTGGGTCCTGTGATGACTCTCCCTCCATTTTCAGCCCCAACAGTCCTCCTTTTCCCGGGTAGGTTTCAGGAACCCAAGGGCCGCACGGGGATACTCTGGATCAGAGAAGTGGGATCACAACGTATATTGCCTCCTGCCAGGTCGCCGGGAGTTTACACCATGCGGTAAACGACCCATCTTTCCCATTTCCCAGGGAGGCCCGGCTCGTCGCAGGAGGAAAGGGGGCTGGGGTGGTTCACTAACGTACTAACTACCATCAGACAGTACTCCGCGAGTGCCCCGCGAGATGCTGCCGCCGGTAGAGACTTCCGAATTCCTCCCCCAGCCCCGGAGACGGCGCCAAAGAACTGCAATCCTGTCCACGACGCGCCCGCGAGGACTTGCGCACCGGATCGCGGCGCACAGCCCGACGCGCGCCACGCCAAACCACTAGGCTGGGTGGAGCCGAGCGGTCCAGGGAGGCGAGACTGAGACGCGGAGCTTACGAACGTCGGTCTGCTCCAGCCTCCGGAGCACTATTGCCATCAACCCCCAGTAGCAGGGGCTGACCCTGAGTTGGTGACCTGGACACTTGGTGATCTGAGAGGCGTCTGGGGCCGCTGCGGGCTGGAAAGAGGGAGGCGGGGCCGCCAGGAGCTTCGGGAAGTTCAACTCTTACCCTGGGAAGATGGTGTGGGTGGATGCTTCCTATTGGAGTCAGTCCTTCCAAGTAGCGGCTGCAGCCCGGCTATTAGGGTATTGAGGGGCTGGGAACGCACAGGCAGCTGAGACTTCGGCTCCAAGCACCCAGAAACCCGCACGCTCTTAGGGGCCCGTCGCGCCAGGTGAGGGGCGCTCCGGTGTAGGGCGCCGCGGGGTCGTGGACGCGGGCGAGTCCCGGCGGCAGCGCAGGGTCCCTGAGAATGCGCGGCGGGGAGGCGGGGGGCGTTCCGACTCCTCCTCCGCTGTCTGCTTTCCCGCAACCCCGGATCCATCACCCGAG